GCAGCAGAAGCAGCAGCGGCAGCCACGGCGGCGGCATCGCGGAGCCTGCACATGTCCCTGAGGCTGGCCCCGGCGCTGCGCGGGGCAGAAGGGGAAGCTCGGGCGGAAGCTGTGCCCCGGGGACCATGTGTGAAACGAGCTGGGGATCCTGGGACCCGCGGGCCCCACGGGACCCTCGCTGCGTCCTCCCCGGGCGCCGTGCGGTCTTTCCGGGGAACACGGGGACTGGCCTGACTGACTGGCGGTTCCCAAACCACCTCCTGGGGGAAGGCGGTGCGGGTGGGCATCGGCCAGGGGCCTGTCTGCGGTGGGGGTGGGGGATCTCCCCCCGGGACTCGGGCCGTTGAGGAAGCAGAAGTGAAAGGCCTCTGTGAGCCCCCCTTTTTCCTGGGTCCTGTGACGGGGAGGGAGTGGGGGTGCAGAGCAGCGAAGGCTCCCGGGGGCGGGGCTGGTCTGGGCAGACACGATGCAGGAGGGCCAACCGAGAGGGGACTTGTGCGTGAGCAGTAACTTTGTAGCGTAAGTCGTCGTGGCTGAATCGCGTGGTCCGAGGTCCTCCACTGGGGGAGGAGCAGAGAGAATCACCATCAGCCCACGGCTGGTTCCTCTGCGGCGGAGGTCAGACGGGCCCCCGGTCTCCGCCTTTCCAACCCGTTCCAACACCAGCCATCCTGCCCAGCGCACAGTCTGCTTCTCCGCTGGCTGCAGGCGCTGGTTGCAATGGCGACGCAGAGCCCACAGAGCACACGTGGTCAGGTGGCTGATGAAGGAAATCACGGGACTGAAGTCCCGATTCGTGCTGTTGTGTGGGTGGACTCTGACAACATGCTAAGCGAACAGGCCAGGCGCAGAAGGACACACGCATGACGTCACATACATGTGCTGTCTAATGACGTCACATACATGTGACGTCTAAAACAGGTGGGTGCATGGAGAGAAGGTTTGTTATTGGTCCCCAGGAGGGGCCGGTGGGAAGTTAGTGCTTAAGGTGGAGACCAGGCTTGTGTTTTAAGTGACAAAAAAACTTTTGGAAATAGGTAGTGGTGATGCTTGCAGACCATGGTAAGGGTCATTGATACCACTAAATTGTACACTTAGAAATGGACAAAAGGGCTTTTTTTTTTTTTTTCCCGGTATGTATTTGGCTGTCACAAAAATTGTTGAACAGAAGTAGAAATGAAGACGACACTGAGAAAGGTTAGTTGTTCATGTAAAAAGCCAGTGTCATTGGGATGCTTGCATTTTGAGTGGATTACATCTATCTGCCAACTCCAGGCTGGTCTCAGTCCCAGCCGTCTCTGGTGACCCACTGAGTCCTGGTCGCCCGGAAGCACCCCCTCCAGGCCTTGGCCCACTTCTCGATCTCCCCTCTCTCTCTTGTCACATAACTGGGCGTCACTTTCTTGTGTGAAATATGCAGGTGTGCTCAGCGCCCTTTGAGCTGTGACACCAGTCCCTGGAGGTAATGCTGATGGCAGGAGTTTCAGGCAAAGTTAAGGGCACAGAGAGGTGTGGGTGAGTGGGATAAACCCTCCCAGCCCTTCTAGAAAATGACTGTCTGCTTTGGTCAAGTGATGATACTTCTTCCTTCACTCACCTTCACCGGGACCTTGTGTGGGACAAGTGCTGGGCCACACACTGGGGACACTGAAGAAAATCAAACCCAGTGTCTGACCTAGAACATTCTTGGAAACAGAAGAGCTCACGCACACTCATAAAGGCCCAGATGCTAGGGCAGACCTTCCTGATGGGGCCCTGAGGAAGGAAAGTCCTGTCGCTTCTCCTGGTTCAGGTCGGTCAGGGAAGGCTTCCTGGAGGAAGTGCCCTTCTGCTCTCCCTGCCCCAGCACTGTCCTTGCTCTCACACCATCTTTCATTCACTCTGAGCCCCAGGTCCCTATGGCCTGGCTGCACCTTCTCTGGGGAGAGCCAGACTCCCTTCTCCCAGGAGCCCTCAAGTTGAGGCTCATCACAGGCTCCGCCCACCAGATCTCACAGAGAAGGCCTTTCCTAGGGAGAGCTAGAAGAGGCTGCCTGGGTCCTGCGTGAGCGGAGGACTGAGGTCTTATAGCTTCATCCCTCGTCCCACCCACCTCTGTCTTTGAACACTTTCATATCTTTATAGGACAAATATGAGATGACTGAAAAGACCATGACTTGGGTCAAGTGCATCTTTAGTCATTAAAATACATCTTTTCTTTTAAAAACTTTAAAGAGGTCTTTTGCAGCAGATTTTCCCACTGCAATCAGCTATCTGATGTCTTGCATTTGAATTGTAGTGTTGGCAAAGCATATTGACTACACTGGGGACCATCAGAAGAATGAGCAAGCTAATCTTGGAAGAGTACAACCAGGATGCCCTTAGAAGCAAGGATGGGGAGACTGGACCCAGCTTACTTTAGACATATCATCCGGGAAGACTAGTTGTTAGGAAAGGGGATATCATGTTGGGTGACATGTTCTGGAAGAAAGAGAGAACGGCCAGACTGCATCTCACCTACTTGGGTCATGTTGCCAGAGGGGACCATTCCCTGGAGAAGGATGTCATGCTTGGTAAAGTGGAGGGTCAACGAAAAGGGGAAGGCCCTCAGTGAGATGGGCTGACACCGTGGCTGCCATGATGCGCTCTGTTGTAGCAGCGCTGGTGAGGCTGGCGTGGGGTGGGGCAGGGTTTCGTTCTGTTGTACATGGGGTCGCCAGGAGTCAGAGCCGAGTCGATGGCACCTACCAACAACAACAACACAGAGGCTCAGCAGATATGAAGGGAACTCCAAGGAATATGGATAGACACAGTAGTCGTAAAGGTGGACTCAAACACGCCAACGATGAAGAACATGGTGCACGGGCCGCCAACGTTTTATTGTACCTAAGGCCACATGCGCGGGAGCAAGTCACAGCAATGGCACAGGGTGCATTGGGGCAGGGCCCCAAAATGTGTGTAGGCTCACTCCTTCCGTGGACTTCTGCACACTACTCCACTGTGTGCAGGCAGCCAGAGGCAAGGGAGGAGTCTTTCCCAGCTGCTGTGACCTGGGGGTCCTTACTTCAGAAGATGGGTGTCCAGGAATGGTTGTGAAGAGAGCCTTGGGGCAGATGGTTCCAATGTGTGACTGCCCTGCGTCCTCCAGGCCGGAGGCCTCACAAACCCACCTGTCAGTGAGGGCCACCATGACAGTGAAGTCTCCCATTGGCTATGGACTCCAGGCCCAGGCGAGGACACACTGAAGTTAGACAGCTCTTGTGCTCACAGCCAAATTGGAGCAGGGCTGGGCTTGACAGGAGAGGGTGGGAAGACAGTGGGATAAGAGAGCCTTCCGGAACTCTGCCTGTGGATCGACCCTCCCTGCCCAGAAGCAACTGTCAGGAATTCCCTGGAGGTGGTTCTGAGACCATCAGCTCCCACACCCTCTTTCCTCATAATCTTGAGGCTTCGCTTCACAGTAGTCTTTCTTCAAAGACTTGAACTTATTGGTTTACTGCTCGTTCTGGCCCAGTCATACCTGCTTCCCCACCACCTTACTCAACCCGTTCTTGTTCAGACCACCAAAGACTTATAAACTGTGAAAACCAGTAGACAATGTCTATTCTCTTTTCCGCCTCCCTCTCAGCAGCATGTGATGTGCTCAGTCACCCATTCAGCATGCAAATACTCCACAGATTGACTTGTGTCACCTAGAGCTGCCATACTGAAGTCCCCCACAGGTGTTCAGTTGTCTGCAGTGTAGAGGAGACACCACTATTTCTTGCTTTCTCTTCTACCCATCTACACACTCTTCCTTATCTCTTTGGATAGCACCTCCATCTGTCCCTGACTCCTAAATATTGGAATACATCAGGATCACTCTCTCTAGATCTCCTGTTTCACCTGTATGGCTTTAAAAACACATGCTACTGATAATGTTTCTACAAGTGTATTGGTATGTTCTGTAAAAATTCCCAGGTAGACCTTCTAAAA